AAAAAGGTTCTCAGCACACACAAGCTTCATTCATCAGTCTCTATTTTTAGTGCTGCAACAGCTATGAAATGGGCATAACTAGCTTTGGGAAGCTGGGCAGGTGTGAATTTGTGTCTCCTGAAGCACAGGTGTACAGGAGATAAAAAGCCTCTGAGAGCAGGCACAGAAAAGGAGATCAAAGTCGTCCCTTCCCCAAACACACAACTTCGACCATCATGAGAATTATCCTCAACTCTGCAGCTAACAAACTCTGTTCTCATCGCAAATTTTTAGACACAACAGGCAGTTTTTTTAACAAACAAAACAGAATTCTACCCTTAAGCATGTTACTTTTAATACTGCCCAAAATATTTCTCTTTCTTAAATAAGATGAATATAGAGCAGCACCGCTGGTGTGTGCCCAGTAGTCTAGCAGTGCAACTTATATCCAGAGAGTCCCTGAGATATCTGCTGATGGGCAGGGGTTGGGATTTCTTAATAGTACTGAGCCAATTTGGCACTTCCTACCTAAAGCCACATCTGTGGTACACAGACATTACTTTAACCTTGTGCACAGACTCAACATGAGTATGCTTCTCTTAGGTGGATTTGCTGTGATTCGCAGGCAACAGGTATGCATTAACTTTAAACATTAAAGACAGCACCCGAGCAACAGTTAAGCTTCCTGCCCCACCACACAGCTGGTTTTCAATCTAGTTTCCTATGGCTGTGGGAAACAAAACTGCAAATCAGTCAAGCCCCATTTATGAGCTGCAGTACAACAGCTGTAAGTAGTGATGCACTACAGGACCCCGTCACTAATTAAAACTAAACCCAAAGGCAGTCTGAGATACAAACCAATAATGGCTGTAATGTTTTCTGCTGGAAGCAGCAATCTGAAATTAGCAGTAAATTTGTTTTTGCTAAATTATTTCTAGGAATGTCCCATGCCATACCTGGAGTATCAGGTTGAGAAAGGCTGTTCAACTGTCCTGCATCAGTCATAAGGCCTGATCCATTTCTGGTCCATCTCACTCTCTGTACAGCAGATGTCAGAGAAGTTGGAGTTTTTCCTCCAAAGCAAAAAGTCTTGTGCGATATGTATCAAGGTCACGACTTATTTAAAAAAAAAAAAAAAAAGTTGATATTCTTGTCAAAACCGTTTGGTTGTCATGATTTTATGAAAACAAATTACTATTGGTTGATCTTTAAAACACGCAAATATTGCTAATAATATGAGCCTCAAAAATCCAGTACTGGTTAGGCTATAGCGGGGGGTTAAAACTGGGCCACAGCCGAGCTCCACCTCCAGTCATGCAAATAGCACCCTGCCAGAGATTAATGCCATCTCCCTTCGCATCACAGCACTGACAGCTGACTTGGAACGTCCACTTTCAGACACTGTGTCACACTGACCAAACAAGTGTTAAATCACAGTGGCTATCAAACAGTCTGTTAAAGTGATGGTTTTCGCACATAGAGAACCTTTATCATTACATTTCTGAGGCTTCATTCTGGGCTTTGTTCAGACATACGCATGACAATGTACAAGATGACTGTACAGGGGCCGTGTAGAAACTGCTACACCAGAAAGAGGGACTACAAGCTTAGCTACTTAGCTTGTTCGTCTGTGCAAAAGACTTTCAGTGTCGTGCAAAAATGATTAAAAACACATTGGGAAACGCCACTAAAGTGGGAGGCACGTTTTTCATTACATAACCCCAGACCTGACTATGTTGCTGCTGTTGTTTGTTAATATTCCACTAGCTATGCAATGAAATATGTCACCCAGTGCAACAAGCATCCAGGACCGTCCTCAACAATGAGCAAAATACTGGTGATAAAGAAATTAGCAGGCCTTATTCCATAAGAGCGAGACTATCGAATATGTTTGCAGTATTTCTTTTTGGTGTTGCACTTTGTAGACGGTCCCTGTGCAACCGACTCGCTGCCTACACATAGCCAACAATGCTTCATCAAAATGTCTTGCTTTGATGAAAAATAAGTTGTAGTTCATTGTCTGTCTATCTTACTATATGTTTAACTTTCTGATTTATTGATCTAGGAACTCTGACTCTGTGAATATTTCATCATAAGATTGATACTATACTACCTTAAAGTTTTTTCAGGCAAGAAAGTCACCATTTATATTTAGAGTATGTGGTCAGTCTAAACGAGTAATGGGTATTTGGAGATGTGCGCCAGTGTTTTCAGAGATACAAGTACCAGTCTAGCAGCAACCTCTGAGGCTAAGAAATGAGGCCAGTGGGGAAGCATTAAAACCTGCAGTTCCTCAAATGACCAATTCAGGCTGGCTCCAAAAAGGTGACAATTCTCAGAGACTCCCATGTTAAAATCCCCAACTTTATTACAGTTTACAGCCTGGTACAAAAAACTGCTTTGGTCAAAGCAGCTAATTTCCCCTTCTAAATGTATGGGGGGGGTGAATTTTTATACAACTCGCCCATTTAAATTGTACTGAGGCTAAAGGTTCTGCATAATTAACGGCGTGGCCACTTCTAGTGACAGATGGGAGGTTCCCGCCATAGGTGGCTAGCAGCCTCCACTCACGCTCCACCTCTTTTGCCCATGTTTGGATTAGCCATAGCAGGCGAAGTGAAGTGCTACCAATATGGTGACAGCCAGACTTCAAACTGCTCTTCAGAAAACAAGTGAGCGACGTCAGGGAAACTATGATCCTGGGGGGCTAAAGTTTGACCATTTCCACCTCTGAAAAAGCTTTTTTTTTTTTTTTAAACTGACCTGAATAAGGATGAATCATTTCAAGGCTGCATACAGCTAGCACATAAACCTTGAATGACAAAAAAATAAACATTAGAGGACTAAGCTAAACCCCCCCCCCCAGACAGCAGCAACAAATCACACCAATGTGACCTTAATAGAAGAGTGGGAGAGAGTGGAGAAAATATTGGCTGTTCACAGAGCACCTAGTAACAGATATAGATCGAGCAGTGGATATAGAATAATAGTGTTTTAAAGCTTAAGGGCATGTTCTGCTGTATCATACCTGCCTCCTTAAAAATTGCAGCATGCAGCACAAAAGCAAATAAGAGATGAGGAGGATTCTGACTTTTGTCTTCGGTTCAGTACAGAAGCTGTTAATCGATAGCTCTATTTCGAGCTGGTGCCCTGTGATGTCTGAGGGGAAGAAAGTGAAACCTCAATGCTCTGAGCTACTTAACAGACAGACAGAGCATTTTTCCACATTCATTTCACAACTGTCACATTCTGTGACAGTGCTTTCTCAGGGACACTGACTTTTGTTCAACATAAAAGTAGCATTGTATCTATAAGCAGTGCACCTCTGTTAAAACTGTCACTCACTATTCTCTTTTCATTTGTTGCCATGCAACAGTCCAATAATACCACAACATTTTCTTTTGTGGATTGCTATTATTAGCATAAATTTTCTTGGAAATAAAAGAACCAATCTTCTGTAATGTGAGATTGGTCAACTGCCAGAAGACTCTCGAAAAAAAAAAAACTTTAAAATCCCAGTCAGTATTAGCCAACTATTAAAATATGCACAACAAACACAGGGGACCCTAGAAGCTATATAGCCATGAGACAGAAGCCAGTGAAGTCAGAAGCAAAGCCACACACCCATTCACACACACACACACACACCGGCACGTGCATACAAGCACTCACACGCACACACAATCTAGGCGGCTTTTATTTGTTCCCTTAGACAAAGCTTTTCCTCCAACTGAGGAGGGGCAGCAATCACTGTAAACTGCAGGCAGACTGAAGGCATCCATTTAAATGACTCTGGTAGCTGAGAGCAAGTCCCCTGTTGTCAAGGCAGCGAGACAGCCATCAAATCACCTGGTTCCATTAAAGAATCAATTACTGTTCTGCTCTCACTGGCAGCACAGTTCTTACACCTGAGAAATCTTTCCAGACAACTAAAGCAGATAAACAAGGACTCTGTACTTCACATATGGTGCTTTCTGCATTGCACACAGGTGACAACACATAAGCAGCATAATGCCGGCTGATCGGGAGACAGATGTAGTTGTGACAGTGGGTACTGACGCACTGTTACCTTTGGTTGAGGTGGGCAGCCAGCGGCCAGTCGCTGCAGCTGCTCTGAAGTATGGCTGCAGGAGAGGAAATCTGAGCAGCAAGCTGTGCGGCCCAGTCTCTTCATTAGAGAGGAGATGATGCTGCAGCCACAGCCACACATCGACTTACTCATTAGTAGCCTGGCAGTTTTCTGGGCTTTGAAAATGTGTGGGGAAACAAAAGAGACTAGCTGCAAGCTCCTGCCACTTCCTGGTCTTTGTCGAATTCCCTCAGTTGTCCTCACAGTTAATGCCTTTCCTGTAATGTATTCCACATGGTGCTAATCCACAGGTACTCCGTCACTGAGATCCGGTTGGTTTGATCTACAGTCAACATAATACAGATGCCAATGCCTTAATCCACAGTGAGGGCAATCGAGTTGGGAAGTACAGTTTCTCGGTTCATTTCCCTCGTGATTGCTTCCCACTTAGTGCACTCCTTCTGCTATACTTCTGCTGCTGAACAAACGCACGCCTCCTGCTGTAGCTCCCCCTTTCTGCCAAACTCACACAATCCACAAAACACCTTCTCCTGATTCTGTTAAAATAATACAGAGGATGCAGAGTCTGCCACTACTCACATCTGTCTCCCACAATTTCCATCAGCTTCTTTCTAATCACTCCACTGCCTTCGGCTGCTATGCAGTGAGGATGCTATTCCCATCAGCGCTGCTGCCGCCACCAGCATAGCCCCCCATCACCACCACCACTAGCAGCTCCAGCTGTAAACCACTCAGACTGAGCTCTGGTCGATAACAGTGATTTCCTCATTTCACGTTCGCATCCCTAGTTGTTCCATTAATTGAGGAAGCAATGGACAAAATATTATAAGAAACCCAAGCCACTCTGCATAGAGCAGAAGGACTAATAAGGACACAGTCAAGATGCAGAGGGGGAGGGGTCCAGGGTACGCAGGCAGGAGACAATAACAGAGCAGACAGGATTATTATGGTAATAATCTGTCAGTGCAGTCAAGATGCCACTGATGATCGCTGTAATAACTCAAAGGCTGAAAATTCTCACAATTCAACAGTTTCTCTAACTGAATGAGAAAAGATGCATAATGTTAATCTGCAGTTATTAAGTTCTGTCACAGTAAATTATACAGCAGTTCTAGTTTTACACTATGTAGTTTTTATTTGTGAAACTAGATGCAGAACAATAAACAATATACAGTAAGTGCAGCCTGCATGTCTGATTAGTCCAGGTTCAAATATCAGCAATGAAAGTGCATCATTAAATTCTCTAATTCTTGCAGGGTTTTCACCACTGTAGAAAGGCTTCCGCACAGCGCATAAAATGGTGAGATAACAGAATGAATGTAAAAACAACAGTGAGTTATATGTGCTGAAAAATAAAGGAGAGGTGATTTGAATGACCTGCAGCATCACCACGGTAATCAAACAGCTGACTGGATATTTCTCTGTATACTGTCAACTCAGGACAAGAGTTACAGACATCAGTAAGGTTAGTCTCGACAAAGAATACATGAAGGAGGCTATAACTTTGTTGGGGAGTAATTCTTGTGAACAGAAATAGCAGAATGCAGCCTATTTTACAAGTAAAGAAATTGCAGTAGCTAACACGTACCGGGTTAGCTAAGCTATGTTAGCCAAGGAAGCTAGTTAGTCAACATTACATAAATAATACGTTCTAAATATAAGTTAGAATAAGCTGTCTGAAAATGTAGAGAAAAGCCTGTCTTGCGCCTCAATATCTGTCTCCCAGCTTCAGTGAGACAGCACATTCCCTGCCCACCTCATCACAGTTGTCTTCTCTAACGAGTGTAAATCTAATGAGTCTAGTGACGCCCAGGGACAGCGTGAAAATTATTTATCGCAGATGCTAACAGCAGAGCTGAAGCTGTGAGGTCCAGGGAGGGGTAGTGATTGGGAGGGGCAGTAATAATGGCAAGGCAAAGATAGGCCTATAGAAAACCAAGAATGGGCCCTCTGTTAAAGGAACAGCAACAGTTTATTATTAACAGAACATGTATAAATGTTAAATGTCTATTCAAAAATCATTGTCTCCTATTACTACCAATACCAAGACAAAGAAGAAAAAAAAAATATTGCAAAAATGGCAAGAACCGCTATGGCCTTTATTTATTTTGGTGGGGTGAAATGTATCATGTGTGGCTTTGGACTGTGTGCCAACTGCACCCAACATAAAAGGCGGTGGAACCAGTAATGATGAAGCACTTAAAGCCATTCTCTGTGCTCACTCACTGGTGCATCGCTGTGCTGTTGATAGCAGTGTTACTAAAGGTGACACCTCACTGTGATTCATTGCAACAGAGATTTCCTGAAACACCAGGTCGCCATCTCCCCAGAACAAACATCACATCGGGAGGGAAAATGAACACAGCAAACACAGCCCTCTATCTACAATCATCAGAAACTGTATATTAAGGAAAGCGGAACACTGTCAAAGAGGAACTACGTCCAAGGGTAGCCTTAACACAAAGTCCAACCTTGACTTCATGTATCAAGGCAGAACAGTGACAGCATATTTTATTTTATATCAGAATGCTCCACATGCATAAGCTTCATGTTTACCATTTTGTTCTTCTCTTGGAAGGGATGAAAAGACAGGGCAGGGTGAAAGGGTGCCCTGTTCATTATTTATGAATATTGCCTTTCACTGTGTCAGCACACTGCTTCAGTATTGATCCATAAAGTGAAAGAGACTCACTGCACCATAAGCAGGGGGTTTGAAAGGAAGACATAAGGACACAAGACTTACACACAGCACTTAGGCAGAATCAAAGCCCAGTGGGCCAGCTAGGCTCGAGTAAAGCATGGCATGCATTTCACTGCATGGGTAATTTGTTGTACAAGCAGATTATAAATTCTGTGTACCCACAAACTAATATTCAATATTTAACTGAGCAAAGCTTTGCTGATCAATACCGACTATACTCTAGAACAATCTGTTCTGTTCCTGTGTGAATGAGAAGAATCAGATATTGATAAAACTGTTGCGTTTACAGGAAGTACAGTGGAGAGGGATGCACCAATACCGATACCAGTAGTGAGTCCAACACCACCCTGTAGTACTTGTACACATACTCGTATAAGTTGCTTGATACTAGGTACTGATACCACTTAATGGAAACATCGGTCGCTACACAGTACGGAATAGCTTTCAGCAGTTAGAGGATATTGTGAGATAAAAACATCAGTCGCTACACAGTACAGAATAGCCTTCAGCAGTTAGAGGATATTGTGAGATAAGTAAAGATGACAAAACTAAAGCTGACTGTGAGCTGACTAATCAGTCTCTCTGTGACAAGGAGGGAAGGGCACTCATAGACATGCACCTCTAGCCAGGAATTTGCCGAATATTTCACGTCTACGCGTCATGTCTGAACAAGGCCCCAAGTCGTGTAGTCAGCAAAGCGTTACTAGCAATGTCACTTGATCAGACTTAGTCAAATGTCTGGCTACATTCTAACCAGCTACATGTCTGAAGTGGTCAGTGAGCACAGTCAAGGTGACGACAATGCTACAGCATAACGCACAACATTTTCAGTTTCACTGCTTTGTTCTTGCCAACGCTGCTCAGTCTCTTCTCTCATTCTATAGCTCCTCTCAATGACTCTCTTAGTGGCATATATTTCAGGCAGGCAGTAAAATCTGGGCATAAAGATAAAAAGAATACAACATCACTAGCTGATAAAAGTTTATTTTGAACTGATTCAGAGAGGATATGGTTTAGCATGATCAAATGAGAGAACTGTTCATCCTCGTGCAGAGGAAGAAATTACCAACAAGATAAATAGTAAACAGTGTTGCTTTGTGTCTGTCTTGTGTGATATTGGATATCGTATGAATGTTGCGGCTGTACCCGGTTAGGTCCTGTTATGTCACACAGCTACATGTAGGGTCCATGTATTGGCCAAAGGATTTTTATTTTGAAATAAAAGAAAGTCAATATTAGAAATGTTTGCCCAACTGCCATTTGGAAATAAGGAAACAAAAGAAACTTTCTATTTTTGTTTTGAAAACAAATCAAATCAATTATCAGTTTTTTTTATATATATGTTTATGAATGGAAATCGAGAATTAAAGTGGCCTGCATGCGTTCAATTTCAGATCAGTGTCTGTCTGTTCGACCGGAGCTTTGTTACATAAGCACACAAAGTGCATGGGGAGAGGCCGCAGCAGAACAGACAAGAGGACACATGCTCTGGCTGCATTCACACACAATCCTTTCTCCAGAGGTGTAGCTGTGTTTATTTCTGCTACAGAGCATAACCACCATGATACAATCAAAGAATAACATTCTTCTCTTGGATTCACCGCTTTATTCTCGCTGACGCTGCTCCCTCTCTCCTTTTTAAAACATTCTCGACATTTACCACATATAAATGTCTTTTGCCAGAAAACTGTTTAAACTTAATCAAGACAAATTTCCTTTTTAACGATCACCCAAACACATTCTACATTCTCGCCACTTTGGCTAAAATGTGTAGTTCAAACAAAAATAATGTGGCTGAACCACCAATCACTAAATCTAGCTCCAAAAACTCTGATTCAAAGTCACTGATGTAATCATAAATTATTTTCTTGTGAGGCCTCACGCTATTATTCTTCATTACTGAACAATAACATTTAATTACATGGCTTTTTAACCATGAAAAATAACGTCTGAGCCATTTCCCAGACTGGAAAATGTTCCACTTTGTTTCATTCCAGATAATAAATCTGAAAAATAAAACTCTGGATTTAGGCACATATAGAGGAGCAGAACCAATATCAGAGGTTCTCTTTATCAAATTTACAATATCCGCCAATTTAAACAGGTCGCAAATTACACATTAAGTTAGATTGCTGTAACTAGTGTCTAATGGCCAGAGCTTGGAGTCTAAACCCCTCAACATAACTATTAATATGATCAGAAGTTCACTAAGGGAAATTACTCACCAAATACTGACCAACTGTATCTCTAGCATTTAGAATTCTATGTTGAGAGCAAGACATTTTGAAATTATGTCATTTGTTAATCAGGTGGCAAATGTGTGATATTTAACGTACCATTAATCTCTTCGAACCAGTCAGGCGTTTATACACTGAAGTGGGCTTCCTAATTATGTCCTCAGCTATAATGACGCGCCCAAACTTTGAGACACTGAACAGAAAAACATTTATAAAATTCATCCTTAGTTTTTGTGTCATATAAAGGGGTGTATCCAGTGTCCGGTTTAAAAGATGTCTTATTTGTGTGTCATTTAAAAAATTATAAAAATCCTCAATGTGCCCACATCATATGAGCGACTTTAAAACAGAGCATGTCCTCTGATTAGGCTGC